CATCATCACTAGCAACATCGTCATCATCATCATTGTCGTTGCTAGTAGCTGCAACAGCAGTAGCCGTAGCAGCAGCAACAGAAAAACAGCAGATTCTACTAAAAAGGAGCAACATAAAATCATATGGCATAATATTGTGAAATTGAAAAAAAAAAAATTACGCATACAGATACACATGAAGAATAGACAAAATTAAGAAATAAAAAAAAAAAATGTGACAATAGTAGAAAATTTTAAGCACCCTATAAAATTGTGCAAAAAAATAAATTTAATTTAAAATTTGTTAAAAAAAAAATAATTAAATAAAAATGATAGAAATGGTGTAGAAATAAGAAGAGGGGGAAATAAGTCTATAACTTCTAAACGGTTTGCCCGATTTAAATGAAATTTTACATGCGTAAAGAGGAAGTGTTTGCGGGCTTATGTTATGAATTTGGACCTCTTGGATCTACCAGGGCTTAGTCAGGCGTCCATAAATTAGGACACCTCGGGTAGGTTTAATTGAAAAAAAAACGATTCTATTTCTGCGTTTGTGTTCTGATCTCCTAAAAAATTACATATATAGAATCTCTTCATCAAGCACTATAGCTATCAATTAGCTTTTATAACGTAGGAACATTAAATTTCGCTTTTGAAATTTAAATTTTAAAAATTTTTACCCACTCTATTCCAATTTTTTTAATATTAGCGGGACCAACTATTCTCCAATTTTCTTCGATTTTGTTTTATTCACTCAACATCAAATTTATATATCAAATAGTGAAAGAATTGTTTAAAAACCATGACTGAGTCCAAAGTTATATGCATTTCAATTTAAACAAGTATGAATGTATAGTAGGGCATGACCGACCATATGATACCCTACATCAGTGAGTATGTAAAAAGCATTTAATTACATTTTCACCTTAATTCCGGAATATTTTTACTTATTGGTGAAAAAAGAGATTTTCTATAATAGGACTCATATGGGAGGGAGGGTAAATATGGACCTATCCTTATAAATGTTGGTAGAAAACTTTTTATGGGGGCTAGGGTCGAATAAGGCCCGACCATACCCCCTGAATAGGGCTTTTGAGCTATAATTATAAGGGACTATGTGCTAGGCGAAATAATGGATCCATTTCAACCATTCTCAATAGAACTCGTCCTTAGGTCGAAAAAATGCTACCTATAGCGTGCGAACAAGCTTTACATGGACACACAGACAGACAGACGGACGGACATAGCTAAATCGACGCAGAAAGTGATTCTGAGCTAAATTGGATACTTTAAGGTATGTGTAGGACCAATATTTTTGGGTGTTACAAACATCAGTACAAACGCATAATACTCATCCCACTAAAGTGGTGTAGGGTATAAATATACAAAAATGGCGATTTTTTGCTATTATTTTTTGGAAAAAAAGTATTTTTTTCTTTTAAAGTTATCTAAGAAATTTCTAAAAAGATATATAAAGAATTTATACTTTTTCAAAAGCTTACTTTACAGGAAATATTTTAAATGAAAAACCATTTCGAAACTTTAAATACTAAGGGGATCAGGTGCATGCCAAAAACGGCTATTTTTTAATCTAAAATTCAAGTTTAGAGCAAAATTTCTTAAATCACATAGTCGATATCAAACTATAGTAAGCCATTTTAGATGAGCCAAAAAAAATTTCGATAACTCCGCCCTTGATATGGATATTATAGCTAAAAAAACAAAAAAATCTCAATTTTGGGATTTTTCCAAAAATTTTTTGGGAATTGAGGGATTTGTGATAACAAATTTTACAATTTCTTTTTATTTTAACATTTTCAATGGAAATCTCTATATAACAGTGAAATTTCTTTAAAAATATTCTTAAATAGACAATTTATTTAAATTTTAAAACTTTTGTCTGTGTAAAAATTTCACTAAAAAACTAGTTTTGCCATATTTTTTAAAAAAAGTCTTCTATGAATTTCTGAATTGCTAAAAATTTTATAAATTTCTGAAAAGTACACTTAATTACCCATCCATTGATATATAAAACATCTACCTTGTCCTTTTTATATGTAAAACTAAAGAGGAAATATTTGACATCTCATGGTAAAATTGCCTTCCTTTGGCTTTTTTCATAATTTTGTGTGGGGGAAACCTAGACGTATACGTATTAATTAATTTTTGCTGTCACAATTTTATCCTGAGATGTTAAATATTTCCTCCTTAATTTCTCATTTGGGAGAAAACAAGGTAGATGTTTTATACATCAATGGATTGGAAATTAAGTCTAGTGTTTAGAAATTTATAAACTTTTTAACAATTATGAAATTTATGAAAGCATTTTTTCAAAAATGTGAGAAAAATAGCTTTATGCTGAATTTTTGCAAAGACATATTTATGCAAATTTTTTAACGAAATTTTACAGTTTCATAAACTTTTTCAGTGACAATGTAAAACTAAAAAGAAATTGTGAAATTTATAATCTTAAATCCCTCAATTCTCAAAAAAGTTTTGAAAAATCCCAGAAATGTAATTTTTTTGTTTTTAGACTATAATAAACATAATATAGGGACATGGTTATCGAAACTCTTTGCAGAAAAATTAAGAATACATTGAGTCATCTAAAATGCGTTACTATAATTTGATATGGACTTTGAGATTTGAGAATTTTTGTTCTAAAGTTGAATTTAATATAAAAATAAAAGTTTTTGGTAGGCAGCTGGTGCCCTCGGTATCAAAAATTTTGGATTTTTTTTTGTCATTAAAACTATTCCCTGTGAAGTTGGCATTTCAAAAAGTGTCGCCCTTGCCGAATCTTATATACGCCTCAACATAGTGTGTTTAAAGAAAGAAACAAAATACACAAAGCAATGAAACCAACATACATTCAAACATACGTTTTTTTCTAATGAGCAATGCTTTTTTATCAAAGCATCCAAAAAATTGATGAAATTTTCCGATCTTGTCTTCGATTTTTCCCCATATCACCATTATTTATAGACGGATTTTGCTGATTTTAAATAGGAATCTTCTTGAAAGCATGTCTTACAGAATTATCGAACATTTGGATACCGAAGATATTAGGGGTCTTCAGGAAATTGAATTTAAACAGACAGACTGCGGGCAGATGGATGGACAGGCAGACAGACAGACAGACAGACAGACAGACAGACAGACAGACAGACAGACAGACAGACAGACAGACAGACAGACAGACAGACAGACAGACAGACAGACAGACAGACAGACAGACAGAATTCATATCGTCGCCTGAAACACAAATGGCCCTAACAACCAAAAATTCAAAATCGATTTTGAACAAATGTCCACATTAAACATTGGAATCCTCCGACCATTATTATCGACTTTATTGATAAAAAACACCGTACCCTTCTCACGAAGGTGAACGGTGAAGCTAGTCTAAAGACGATGATAAATATAACTCCCCTTGATACATATATCAAATGCATTTCTGCTAAATCTGCTCTACGACTTAAACAGTCGAACGGACTGAAGTACGTTCGCATTGGTCATGGGACCATCCTACAAAAGATAGGCAGGCCAATCATGGTGTAGGAAGCAGACTACACTCTATCTACACTGAATTGGAATAAGCCATTCAAGACCAGAATACCGATAAGGGATGATTGGGCTGCGAACAACTGTCCTAAGGGACGACGTGATCTCAATCTATACTGATGGCTTAAAGACAGAAAGGGGCACGGGATCGGGAATCTTCTCCGAAAAATTAAATCTTCTACTGTCCCTTTGACTACCTGCCACCTGCACGGTCCTTCAAGCAGAGATATGCCATCTATACAGCCGCGAGAAGAATTCAGGGACTAAATCTCGAAAATTCGACTATACATATTTATATACTTGGACAGCCTTGCATCAATCAAGACTCTTAACTCCAATGTTATTAAGTCGAAATGTCTTCTCAATTGTATTCAATCATGTGCACAACTGACACAACATCACGTTGAGTTGATATGGATTCCAGGATATGAAGGCATCCGGGGAAATGAAATAGTATCTGATGAATGAGCAACCAAAGCGTCGTTCCTAGACTTAACCCTTGCGCAAAAGTATATTCACACTTCCCTGACGACCCTATCAATAGGCTTTGAATGAGACGGAACTCAGGTGGTAAATATCACCACTTGTAGAATATCGAGACTGCCTCGGGCCCACTCTGACAATAGATAGGACTAGGACTCTCTTGTCTCTTAGTAGGAACTCGATTAGGCTTCTAACCTTCTATATGAGCACAGACTTCTCAGATCTTGGTAGAGCTCTTTTCCATGATCTGGACTATCTCAGAGATGCGTCACTAGTAAACATGATTGCTTTTATTAGAAGCACCGACTGGTTTAAACGGACACCGAACGAACCAATTAGTCAACGAAATTAGGGAGGGAAAACATTCTCTCAATAGAAGGGAATGTCAATTCTAAGGATATAAATGAGAAGTGTGCTGGGTTGAATGGTGATGGATGCGTAAGGTCTCTTATATAAGTGATACCATGGAATTTTCTTTCCCTGTTAGGGTATGTTCAGGATTAACTCTGTTCATAACAGATTTACCAGGATGTGTTCTCTGTGAATAAGAATGGCTTATTTGATGGAATTGTATCGGTCTACCGATTACGTCCCTAGGTGCTGTTGCCATATCAATAGAGGCCATCCTATGGAAGTTAGGTTTTTGCATCACGGGGCAGCAATTGTCAGAGATTAGTTAGCTTGAGTTCTTGAACAAAATGCTGGTATATAGACAGGCTAATCCATGTACAAAGTCCTTCAAATTGACATAAATGTTTACAAACTTTATTGTTTTTGATGAGAATTAAAGAATTTCTCGTGGAATGAAATCTCTTATGTTGGGGTAACCTAATATAACTTAAGTTAGTTATAACAAACAAACAGAACGATCAAATTATTTGCCTTAAAATTAAGACTTTAGGAAATATTTTTTATTAAAACATTAATTACAATAAATATTATTAATGTTCTAAAAAATCATTTTATATTTTCAGCTTTACTACTCAAATGAAGGACACAACCTTCAGCTAACTTCTGAGCCTAACAAGGAAGCACGTAACTATTTGAATTTCTTAATTAATTGAACTAAATTATATCTAAATTTAATTATTTTTCTTTGCAGATAGTTTTATTATGTTAGATGAGAAAACTAAATAAAAAGGGTAAATTGTTAATTTTGTTTAATTTATGATAATTTTTAATTTGCTTATTTGTAATAACCTTAAATTCCCAATTTTTACTCCTTGCTCAACTCCCCACAATAAGTGTTTAATAAATTTCGGTTAATTATATTAAACGAAACGACAACAACAACAACAGTTAGTGCTAATACAAATAGTTGTATTTCAAAACTACGTTCGAATCAACGAAAAAGAAAATGGTGCATATTTGACTATGGACCATTAACAGAAACCCGTAAATCCGAACTTGTGCTATTGAATTCAGGTTACAAGACCGGCATTATGGGAGTCTGTCAATGTAAACAACATAAAAAAAAAGTAATAGAGAAACTTGTTCAGAAATAACACTGAGAGCCTGTACGATTTGGACAGCCAGTAAACCTTAAAAGTCCTGCCACAATAAACTCCCTTTCCCGTAATTAATAAATCTTGATTTTTTTATTTAATCAAATAAAAAAAGAAAAAAAATTTAAAAAGCCACCTTTAAGTTAAGAGTTTATAATCTCAACTAATCTCTCTGGCAAATTGAGGTAGTAGGTTGTATAGTAGTATTCTATTTGTTTAAACAAAAGATCATTTAACATACTATACAACATGCTAGCTTTCTTTGCTTGACTAAAAGCAGCAATAAATTTCAATTTATAGAAAATTCAATTCAAACACTGCAGGGTTGTATGGTGTTAACTTAAGTGTCTTATGAAGTGAATAGCCTTAATATTTGGTTATTAAAAGTGTGAGTGTTGTTTTAATATTTAAAAATTTTCTTTAAATTTCTAGTTGGTGCTTTTATTTTAATATAAAATTTAGTTATTTACAAACAAGGTTGTTAAGTTGTATTAACAAGTTGTAGACGTTTACAACTACTTTCACTTACAAAAAGTCAACAACTTGTTAATACAATTATCCAATTCACTATCATTAACGTAGTGTTGTATTGTGGTATATCGTAATATTTTTATTACATTACCACCTACAATGTTACCCCATTGATTGTGAATTGCCTAAACATTACAACCTTGTTTGTACATTATCTAAATACTATGTTTAAATGTTGTTCTTGTTGTGTTTTTTATTTAAAAGTTTAACAAATTTTAATTTCTTTAAAAATTTTCTGTGAAACTGAATATAAGAAAAAAATTTAAAAACAATTTTGTTCTCAATATACTTAAGTACATTTATATTGTTTTATTAGATTTATAAATGTTTGTATGGCTGATTCCCTGAGACCCTAACTTGTGACTTATAATCACAGTTTCACAAGTTTTGATCTCCGGTATTGGCCGCAAGCTTACTGTTTTTGAAAAAAACATTTATAGTTATCCCCCCCAAAACAAAAAAAAGTTAAGAAAAAAAAAAAAAAAATCAGTTTTAAATTTTTGTAAATAAGTTTAAAGTTATTTGAATTATTTTGTTTAATGTGTTTTTTTTGGTTTGAATTATTGAGGTTTTTGCAAAAGGTAAGTGTGGCCATTAAGTTTGTAACAATTTGTTAAACTATATTTATGTTTAAAGCATGTTTTAATTAAAAACCATATATATGAATGCTATATTTTAAGTTTTTTTCTAATACCTACAGAATTTTTGGTACTTTTTCTTTCCCTAAAAGATACTTTTTGAATTCATTATAATAGGGAGCCAATTTACTCAATGTCTGATTACTTTTTTTATCCCAACGATAAATTGACAGTTTTCATACAAAAATTATTTTAAACGGAATTATATTTACCGGTTAAATGATAACCCAAGGTTGAGTTATTGTCCCTATGTGTATGAGAATCTATAAAAAGAAACTTTTTGGTACTTTTTCTTTCATCAAATAGTACTTTTTGTTTTGTTTATAATGTATAGGTTAGGTTACGTGTGTTGCTCGCTAGTTAGCGAGTTTATTCGGAGGCCTTGTGGCCCATTGTGATACCCTAAGAATTGCTATTCCCTCCCTTATCTCGTTGATTATTCCATTCTTGCTGTCTTCTTGAAAACCAGCCGGTGTTCCTAATAAAACCGATCATGTTTACTATATAGTGACGCATCTCTGAGACAGTCCAGATAATGGAAAATGGCTCTACTAAGATAGAGTAGTCTGTGCTCCTGTAAGACTGGACAGTCACCTACAAGGTGACTGCCACTTCCTCTTCATCCAAACAACTTCTACAGTAGCTATAATGTAGGTAGCCCATACGTTCCGACATATGTATGTCCAATCATACAGTGCCCATTAATTATACCAGTTAGAAGCCTAATCGTGTTCTTACTAACAGACCAGAGAGTCCTAGTCCTATTCCTTGTCAGAGTGGGCCAGAGCATTCTCGATATTCTACAAGTGGTGATATTTGATCACCTGAGTTCCGTCTCACTCAATGCACAGTCAGCTATCAATTTTTATAGGTCACCAGGGGAGTGTGAATATCCTTTTGCGGAAGCGTTAATCTTAGGAACGACCCTTTCATCAGATATTTCATTTCACCCATATCAGCTCAATGTGATGTTGCGTAAGTTGTGTCAATGATTGATTACAATTGAGAAGATATTTCGACTTAATAACATTGGAGTTAAGAGCCTTGATTGATGCAAGGCTGTTCAAGTATATATGTATAGTCGAATTTAGTTTAGATTTAGTTCCCGGATTCTTCTAATACTTACTTATTGAATGAGAATCTATAACGGGAAATATTTTGGTACTTTCGTACTTTTTCTCTTCAAATTGTACTTTTAGATGAGAACTGAAAATTCTCTAAAAAAAGAACATAGTTTGTAAACCCTCCTAATAGAGGGTATATATAAAATCGAAGTGCTTTACGGTACTTTCACAACCACAGGGTGAGCGGTTAGACAACTTAACACCGCCCTCTTTATGTGCCTTGCATCCACACGCAGGTGAGAAATTTTGTCAATGTTTAATCCGATCCATGTACTAGCACTTTGCTCAAGTATTTGAGCTACATATCTAATCTCGGACCGTTGCTGACCCCTTGCTTAACTTCCGAGTTGCAAAAACATCACTTCCGTTTACAGCCACACAGCTGGGATGCGCTATTTTGATTCGGTAGACTTCGACCTGCGGATCCATCAAATAAACAAAATAATATTCTATAAGAAGTCTGGTATGAACAGAAAGGAAAACTCTATGTCATCACTTATATAAAATATCACAAACTTCTCATTTTAGCGACATATTCATTAAGAAAAACTTCCGACAAATTCATTTTTTAGGTATATGGGTGTGAAAGGCCCGCATACCCGTTCTTTCACTCCGTATCATTTACAATTAATATCAACTCATTTCCAACGTTTAACCCCCCCATATACTATTCTGAGGGGTATACTATATGTTGTCTTTCTCAACAACACAGAACTTATTTTGAAATATAGATTTCAACGTGTATGAGTCCTTTACGGCAACAGCACCGAACTTTACCCAAAATATAGATTTCATCATGTATCAGCCCTTTAATCAATATTTTCTTGCCGCTAGTTTGAGTTCAAAACACAACCACCACGTGCATCCAGCAGGCTACCGGTTCCCGTGGTACCAGCTTATATGCATCTCTGATTCGAATCCAGGTCTAATTATACCAAATAAAGGTCAAGAAAGTATTGGAAACCATCAGTTAACTAGTAGCATCTCTTTTCTCCCGGTTTGCAAACACCTAAAGGGGGCAAGTTCATCAAGGTAACATGCCCCGAGGGAAGATGATAATACAAATTTGTTATTCCGTTACACCTTATGAAATTCTAAGTCGATTTAGCTATGGCCGTCTAAGCGTCTATATGTTTGTTCGCCTAAAACACGATCAAGTTAAAATTAAGTAAAAAAAATCAGCGAAAATCAACCAAAAATTCTTATTTCAAACAGTTTGACATTGAATCGGTCCACAGGGTAACATTTCTGAATATCTTCAAAAAAATATGCTTTTTCCCCTAATTTTTCAGTTGTTTACTCAAAAATTACTAAAAGATAACCAAACTGGATTTTGTCACACATTTTTTCGTCGAAGGATGAATTCTGTTTAAAATTTGAACAATTGATTTAAAATATCCCATAGCCTCCATACAAAGGTTCAAATATCCCAAAAATATAAACAGAAATCATATTACTAACGAGCATACATAGTTCTATAGCGGTCTACAACTCGTTATAGCTCCCAAGTACGGTACAGTTTCGAAAATCACTTAAATGCATGTAACTAATTAAGAAATAAAGATATCGGAATAAAATTTCAGATCTACATGCTGTTTGTATATAAATCGCACTATGGAAGCCCTGAGACCAAGTTATATAAATGAAAGGTGCAATAATGTCGTTTTTTTTTGCAAATTTTAGGAAACGATATTTCAAATCCCAGATGTGATGGAGAAACTCTGAGGCCAGATTCGGATTCAGCACAATCCTTTAGAAAAGCATACTTTGGTCTCTATTTAACAATTTATTTTATTTTTACAGATTGCACGACGTCTTTAGCTTTGAGACACCAATAATCAACTAAAATACCTACTCTAAATGCACCCACCTAAAGACAACTTACAGAAATCGGATTTGAAGGTCCTTATAAACATTTGCTGTGCCATCTTACTACTATAACTTTAAAGGATAACGTTTGAGTATTAAAGATTATTACAAAAATCTTCTTTATCATATAGTATAACCTTTTAATTTATATTTTTACAGAAATATACTCTGAAAGGCTTCTAAAGGATGAACATCTTCATAATCTTCAAATGCTTCCTTATAAAGAAAGACGTTGAAAACTCGATAATACTGCTGGATCACAAAACTCATGAACTGGGTACTTTAAGAATCCGATTAGAATACCTCAGAGTCAATCGTGACTACATATTTGATACTAAAAATATATTTATAAACTTTAAAATTTATTTTAATTAAAAAAATTACAAAAATTTTAAATTTTTAAATAAAAACACTTGTTTATTTAGTTTATAATCCAATCTCATTATTGTAATAGTATTACAAAATAATTTCCCTTAATTAAAACATATTATTAATTATAATCAATAAATGTATCAAAATGTATATAAATTTAGTAAAAATGAACAAAAAAAAAAAAAAAACATAAACAATAAATAGAATTAATTTTTTTTATTTATCATTATCATATTTTGATTATATTAGTTCGAAATAGAAGATCTTTATACCCTACACCACTTTAGTGGGGAGGGTATATTGGATTTGTGCTGATGTTTGTAACATACAAAAATATTCGTCCTAGACCCACCTTAAAGTATACCAATCGGCTTAGAATCGTTTTCTGAGTCGATTAAGCTATGTCCGTCCGTCCGTCCGTCCGTCCGTCTGGCTGGCTGGCTGTACATGTAAACCTTGACCCAAGGACTAAGCCTATTGAAAATGGTTAAAATCGGTCCATTATTTCACCTAGCCCCCATAGAACAGAACCCCCGAAAAGGGCTTTTGAGCTCATAATTATGTAAAATATACAGATATATCGATAAAATACGGCACAACTAAGTTTTATAGAAGCCTTGATGACCCTGCCAA